CTCCTCACCTTTTCCCGCCTGCCGCGCGACCGCGCCGCGCCGCCCCGCGCCTGCCGCCCCTCCGAAAGCCGGCTGGCGAGCGGGAGGCGGGCGGTCAGCGCGCGCGAGATCGCGCCTGCGCGCGGGCAGGCGCAGGCACGTTTGGCTCCTCCTGCTCTCACCCCTCCCTCCTCCTCCTCCTCCTCCTCCTCCCTCCTGCTCCCTGCTCCTCCTCCTCCTCCTCCTCCTCCTCCTCCTTTTCCTCCTCCTCTTCCTCCTCCTCCTCCTCCTCTTCCTCCTCCTCCTCCTCCTTCTCCTCCTCCTCCTCCTCCTCCTTCCTCCTCCTCCTCCTCCTCCTCTCTCCTCCTCCTCCTCTTCCTCCTCCACCTCCTCCTCCTCCTCCTCCTCCTCCTCCTCCTCCTCCTCCTCCTCCTCCTCCTCCTTTTCCCTCCTCCTCCTCCTCCTCCTCTTCCTTCTCCTCCTCCCCCTCCTCCTCCTCCTCCTCCTCCTCCTCCTCCTTGCTCCTCCTCCTCGTCTTCTTATGAGTATTATTCTTCTGAGTATTATTACTACTATTAGTAATACGAGTATGAGTATTACTATTATTAATAGTATTGATATTATTATTACTATTATTATTGTTATTAGTATTATTATCATTATTATTATCATTATTATTATTATTAGTATTATTAATGTTACTACTACTATTATTATTATCATTAATAATAATATTATTATTATTAGTATTATTATTATTAATACTAGTATCATCATCATCATCATCATCATCATCATCATTTGTGTTATTATTATTATCATTATTATTAATAGTAATATTAGTATTAGTAATAGTAGTTGTTTGCTAGTATAATTATTAGTAGTAATATTATTAATATTAATATTAATATTAGTAGTATTAGTATTAGCATCAGTTCTATTCATATTATTCTGACCTTAGTTATTATGAGTATTGTTCTTAGTCGTAGTATTCTTAGTAGTCGTATTATTCTTATAACTCTTAGTAGTATAACTAGTTGTCGTGTTCGTCTTCTCCTTAGTATGATTCGTATTACTAGTATTAGTATGAGTAGTGTTAGTATTATTATTGTTACTATTATCATTATGGTTAGTAATAGCAATAGTACTAGTAATAGTAGTATTAGAATTATCATTAATATGTTCTACTATTACTATTAGTGGTAGCCGTCTTCTTGTTAGTATTATTCTTCTTAATAGTATTATTATCCATAGTCGCATCAGTATTCTTATTCTTGGTATTATTAGTATTGTGTTTCTTAGTATTGTTCATATTATTTTCCGTCGTATTATTCTTATTCGTCGTAGTATTATTCGTCGTCTTCTTACTCTTGTTAGTAATAGTATTCGCCTTAGTAGTAACAGTATGATTCTTCGTATTCGCATTATGTTTCGTCTTCCGATTTGTATTATTACTATTATTCTTGGTAGTATTAGTATCATTGCTACTTCTTCTTATCATTATTCTTGTTCTTAGTAGTATTATTATTATTCGTCGTACGATTCGTCTTATTATTCTCCTTAGTCGTCGTATTATTATTCTTACTAACCCCATGCTCACGATATCAAACACTAGGGGATAATAAAGTTCGAGGTTCAGGGGGAGATAATCAAAGTAGCCCACCAGACCTCAGCATAATCTCGAAGTAAGAGATGATCAAGAGGACCGAGCACGTTTTGAGACACCCTTGGCGTTTAGTCTTCATTAAAATATCCTCAACAATGGCTTATCTCGCTGGAGACATCCTCGACAAATCCCTTGTTTCGCTTGAGACATCCACAAATTATTGCTTATTTCGCTTGAGACACCGTCAAACTATTGCTTATTTCGCTTGAGACATCCTCGAAATAATTTTGTTGTTCGCTTGCAACATCATCAAACTGTTGCTGAGTTCGCCTGAACATCCTGAAACTATTGCGTATTTCGCTTGAGACATCCTGAAATTATTTCTTATTTCGCTTGAGACACCGTCAAGCTATTGCTTACTTCGCTTGAGACATCCTCGAAATAATTGTGTTTTTTATTCTCGAAGGTCTCATTGTCTGGTTCTGCTCTCTGACCAGCCATCTGCTTGAGCAGCTCTGCTTCAGCAGCTCACCTTGAGCAGAGAGAGATAGTGAGAGAAAGAGGAGAGAGGGAGAGAGAGAGAGAGAGGTGAGACTCTCTCTCTCTCTCTCTCCCGCCGTGCGCTCCTCTGAGGTTTATTATCGTCGGCAGTGTTTTTTTTTATATCATCGGCTGAGGTTTATTATCGTCGGCAGTTTTTAATCATCGGCAGTGGTCAATCGCAACTCCTGAGATCTCCCGGAAGACGGCGGCACGCAAATGATACGCATTTCTTGAAAGACTTCATTTTGACAGAAAAAAAAAATGCGAATTCCATTGTAATCATTTCAAAATTGCGAAATCGAGCCGTCAGGCGCTTGAATGCCACATTGCGTTCGAGATTTAAGCACGCGACGCATTTATGAGAAATTTGCGTCGCACGCGCTTTTGCCCGAATATCGAACGCAGTGTGGCATTCAGGCGCGTGCGGGTTCGAATTCGCAATTTCGAAAGGATGCCAATGGAATTCGCAACCAAATATACTATTTTTTGTCCAAATAAGGTTTTTCAAAAAAAAAAAAAAAAAAAAAAAATGCGTGTCATGAGAAAATTGCGTCGCACACGCTTTCGCCTAAATCTCGAACGCAGTGCGGCATTCAAGCGCCTGACGGCTCGATTTCGCAAATTCGAAAAGATTTCAATGGAATTCGCAATTAAATAAAATATATTTTTTTCAAAATGAAGTTTTTCAAAAACATGCGTATCATTTGCGTGCCGCCGTGTTCCCGGAGAGCTCAGGAGTTGCTATCGACCACTGCCGATGATAAAAAACTGCCGACGATAATAAACCTCAAGAGGTTGTGCTGAGGGGTTGTGCTGCAGGGTTGTGCTGCAGGGTTGTGCTGGAGGGTTGTGCTGGAGGGTTGTGGAGGGTTGTGCTGGAGGGTTGTGCTGGAGGGTTGTGCTGGAGGGTTGTGCTGGAGGGTTGTGCTGGGGGGGTTGTGCTGAGAGAGAGAGAGAGAGAGAGAGAGAGAGAGAAAAAAAAAAAAAGAATATATATATATTAAATAAGAAAGATATAACACATTTCGCAGAAAAATGAAAAAAAACTTATAATAAAGAAGAAGAATAATAAGAAGAAGAATAAGAAGAAGAGAAGATATATAGAAAGAGACAGATAGAGGAGGAGGAGGAAAAGCAAAAATTTCAAGTTTCAAATCCATCAGATTTTATTTAGAAACGCTTTATGAAAATTGAGAAGAGAGAGAGAGAGAGAGAGAGAGAGAAGAAGAGGAGATAATGAAAAGCAAGAGAGGAAGGAGAGGAGGAGAGGAAAGGAGAAGACAGGAGAGGAGCAAGAGGAGAGAGAGATAGAGAAACAGAGAGAGAAAAAAGACAGAGAGGAAATAATAAAAAAAACCTATCAGATTTTCCATGGATAATCAACCCCAGGGATAAACAAGTTCAGGGGGGCATGGGGGGGAGAGAGACAGAGAGATAGAAAGAGAGAGAGAGAGAAGAAATAATGAAAATGAAGAGGAGAAGAAAAATTCAAGAGGAGAAGTAGAAGAGGAGAGGAAGAGGAAAAGCAAAAATTTCAAGTTCCAAATCTATTATATTTTATTTACAAACGCTTTATGAAAATTGTTTTTTTAAGTGCTCGTGTAGGAGCTCATGTGCCTCACTTTCCGTGGATAATCAACCCCAGGGATAAACAAGTTCAGGGGCGCATGGGGAGAGAGAAAGATATAAAGAGAGAAATAAAGAAAACAAAGAGAGAGTTGAGGGAAATACATAAAAGAAATATTAAAAAGGAAAAGGACAAGAAGAAATGAGGAGGAGAAGTAGAAGAGGAGAGGAAAGGAGGATAAAACAAAAAATCTGAAGATTCAAATGTATTAAATTTTATTTACAAACGCTTTATGAAAATTAAAATTTTTAAGTGCTCGTGTAGGGTAGCTCATGTGCCTCACTTTCCGTGGATAATCAACCCCAGGGATAAACAAGTTCAGGGGGGCATGGGGAGAGAGAGGAAAAAAAGAAAGAAATAAAGAAATATATAAAGAAATAAAAATATAAATTAAGAAAAAAGAAGGAGAAGAGAAGAGGAAGAAAAAGAGCAAAAAATCAAGTTCCAAATCTATTAGATTTAATTTACAAACGCTTTCTGAAAATTGATTTTTTTGAGTGCTCGTGTAGGGTAGCTCATGTGCCTCACTTGCCATGGATAATCAACACCAGGGATAAACAAGTTCAGGGGGGCATGGGGAGAGAGAGGAAAAAAATAAAGAAATATATAAAGAAATAAAAATATAAATTAAGAAAAAAGAAGGAGAAGAGAAGAGGAAGAAAAAGAGCAATCCTCGAGTATATGCTTGTTTCGCTTGAGACATCCTCGACAAGCTTCTCGAATCGCTTGAGACATCCTCGCAGAATTGCTGGTTTCGCTTGAGACATCCTTGAAACATTGCTCGTTTCGTTTGAGCCTGCCTCCCAAAATTCTTGGTTTCGCTTGAGACATCCTCACAGAATTGTTGTTTTCGCTTGAGACATCCTTAAGAAACGTATCGTTTCGCTTGAGACATCCTTCAGTATATGCTTGTTTCGCTTGAGACATCCTCGAGTATATGCTTGTTTCGCTTGAGACATCCTCGACAAGCTTCTCGAATCGCTCGAGACATCCTCGAGTATATGCTTGTTTCGCTTGAGACATCCTCGACAAGCTTCTCGAATCGCTTGAGACATCCTCACAGAATTACTGGTTTCGCTTGAGACATCCTTGAAACATTGCTCGTTTCGTTTGAGCCTGCCTCCCAAAATTCTTGGTTTCGCTTGAGACATCCTGAAAAAAGTGTGATCGCTTCGCTTGATGTTGCTATTTCAACATAACTTGATATTGCTATCTCAACATAACGTTCCGAGGTGATAATGAAGTTTGGCCTCCGCGCCCCGCGCCCCCGACCAAACTCTTATTGGTCGACGATAAAAAAACTCTAACGACTTAAGGGGGGGTACATTATTATCGTGTGCATGGGGTTATTTTTATTATTCTTCGTATTAGTATTAGTCACATCCGCCGCTCTGCGGTTGATCGGGAGTTTCTGTATATATAGAAGAAAGGGCGCGCGCTTCTGGGCGAGAGGGAAACGACCGAGAGAAGAAGGGGCGGCCGCCCCACAGGACCTCTCCATGGTGCCGGAAGCCCATCAGGGCTCCCTCAGGGCCCCTCCCCCAGGGCCGGGGCTCCCTCGCCTGCCCCCTCCCCCTCCTCCTCCTCCTCCTCCTCCTCCTCCTCCTCCTCCTCCTCCTCCTCCTCCTCCTCCTCCTCCTCCTTCGCCCCCGTCGGCATATCCAGGCGTGTTATGCAGTCAGGTCGTCCGTCCGGAAACGGTGCCGGAGGCCGCTCTGGGCTCCTCTGGGCATCCCCCCCGGGGCCCGTTTTGTGAGGATGTCTCAGGCGAGGGCGCCGGTTTGGGATTCGTCACCGGATCCAGCGGATCCAGCGGATCCGTCCGGAAACGGTGCCGGAGGCCGCTCTGGGCTCCTCTGGGCATCCCCCCCGGGGCCCGTTTTGTAAGGATGTCTCAGGCGAGGGCGCCGGTTTGGGATTCGTCACCGGATCCAGCGGATCCAGCGGATCCGTCCGGAAACGGTGCCGGAGGCCGCTCTGGGCTCCTCTGGGCATCCCCCCCGGGGCCCGTTTTGTGAGGATGTCTCAGGCGAGGGCGCCGGTTTGGGATTCGTCAGCGGATCCAGCGGATCCGTCCGGAAACGGTGCCGGAGGCCGCTCTGGGCTCCTCTGGGCATCCCCCCCGGGGCCCGTTTTGTGAGGATGTCTCAGGCGAGGGCGCCGGTTTGGGATTCGTCACCGGATCCAGCGGATCCAGCGGATCCGTCCGGAAACGGTGCCGGAGGCCGCTCTGGGCTCCTCTGGGCACCTCCCCCGGGGCCCGTTTTGTGAGGATGTCTCAGGCGAGGGCGGCGGTTTGGGATTCGTCACCGGATCCAGCGGATCCAGCGGATCCGTCCGGAAACGGTGCCGGAGGCCGCTCTGGGCTCCTCTGGGCATCCCCCCTGGGGCCCGTTTTGTGAGGATGTCTCAGGCGAGGGCGCCGGTTTGGGATTCGTCACCGGATCCAGCGGGTCCAGCGGATCCGTCCGGAAACGTTGCCGGAGGCCGCTCTGGGCTCCTCTGGGCATCCCCCCCGGGGCCCGTTTTGTGAGGATGTCTCAGGCGAGGGCGCCGGTTTGGGATTCGTCACCGGATCTAGCGGATCCAGCGGATCCAGCGGATCCGTCCGGAAACGGTGCCGGAGGCCGCTCTGGGCTCCTCTGGGCATCCCCCCCGGGGCCCGTTTTGTGAGGATGTCTCAGGCGCGGGCGCCGGTTTGGGATTCGTCACCGGATCCAGCGGATCCAGCGGATCCAGCGGATCTGTCCGGAAACGGTGCCGGAGGCCGCTCTGGGCTCCTCTGGGCACCTCCCCCGGGGCCGGTTTTGTGAGGATGTCTCAAGCGAGGGCGCCGGTTTGGGATTCGTCGGCGGATCCACCGGATCCAGCGGATCTGTCCGGAAACGGTGCCGGAGGCCGCTCTGGGCTCCTCTGGGCATCCCCCCCCGGGGCCCGTTTTGTGAGGATGTCTCAAGCGAGGGCGCCGGTTTGGGATTCGTCACCGGATCCAGCGGATCCAGCGGATCCAGCGGATCCGCCCGGAAACGGTGCCGGAGGCTGCTCTGGGCTCCTCTGGGCATCCCCCCCGGGGCCCGTTTTGTGAGGATGTCTCAGGCGAGGGCGCCGGTTTGGGATTCGTCACCGGATCCAGCGGATCCAGCGGATCCAGCGGATCTGTCCGGAAACGGTGCCGGAGGCCGCTCTGGACTCGTGCTCTTCGCGCCGGGGGTGAGGATGACGTGAGTTCCACAGAAACTCCCTCAAATTATTATCCTTTCATCCTCCTCCTCCTCCTCCTCCTCCTCCTCCTCCTCCTCCTCCTCCTCCTCCTCCTCCGCCGCCTCCGCCGCCTCCGCCGCCTCCGCCTCCGCCTCCGCCTCCGCCTCCGCCTCCGCTTCCGCCTCCGCCTCCGCCTCCGCCTCCGCCTCCGCCTCCTCCTCCTCCTCCTCCTCTTTTTCCTCCTCCTCCTCCTCCTCTTCTTCCTCCTCCCCGCGCGAGGGCATGCGCGGGTCCCGGCACATACGCGCGCTGGCCTGGTGGTGGGGTGCAAAGTGGCGGGGGAGCGGAGGTGGTGGAGGGGGGCAGATGGGGGGAGGAAAAAGAGGGGGAGAGGGAGGGGGGAGGACAAGCTAGGTGCGCTCGCGTCATATCTGACGTCCTACCCCTCCCTCCCATCCCTTACCATGGCGCTGATTTTCTCTATCCGCGGACGCGTGTCGTAGCGGACCTGTGGCTCGCGCGCGCGTGCGTAGTGGGTGGTGGT